TTCCGCCTACCACGGAGAAACCGGAGCGAGAGCCGCACCAAACCCCCCACACCACCCCACGGCATCCGGGTGGGGGGGGGAAATTGTGGGGATTGGGGGTCCGCACATCTTCAAGTTGCCAAGGTTGAGAAACACTGATCTAGGGCTAACATATCTGGGCTGTAAACCTCTGCCGAACCACTAGATGGCAGCAAATAGTTATTGTTGTCTATTTGTCGCCCCCTATTGGCCCTCTGTAAGCTTCTCTGCCATCATTGAAAAGGCCTGCCTCCTTGCCCGATTCCCCGTTAGAAAGAGAAACGGAAAGTCTCCACCCTAACTTACACAGGGATCGATGGGTTCCACGCTGAAAATAGCTCAGTTGCTAGAAGGCTTACAATCTCCTTCCCCATAAATCTCGTTAAAGACGACTCTGAGAATCATGCTTGGCAAGGACTCGCGTTCCATTTTGGGAGCTGCCAAACAGCGGAGAGATAAGGCTTCGTGGCTCTGAATTCCCAGGGATGCTGGGAGTGAAAGCCAGACCCACCTTGGGGGAGCCTACGCATGTGTCCCTCCACCAGCCCAGACCTTCTGCCCTGTGGACAATCCTTCTCTTGCCTCTAGATTTCAGCCACAAGCGTGGGCCTTTGGATCAACACCTTCCTTGGCGTATCCACCCTCTTTGCCCTCTGGGCGTTGGCCATCCTCTTCCGGCAAGCGAAATCTCACCTAGCAGAGCAGAACATGACAGCCAAATTTGTTTGTTTCCAGGTAATTCGTTTTAAACACCATTAAGTGTAAACGGGCAGATCTGACTTCGGTCTTGAGCTGGGGAGGGTGTGCGTGTTGCGAAATGTCAGAGATGCTCAAGGCCGCTTGGAGACATCTGGGGCTGCTTCAACATCTCTCTTGGATGATCTGCTTTCAGGTCCTTCTCATCCTTGTGGCGTTGCAGCCTTCCATCTTTACCATCCTGGCCAACGAGGGCCAAATCGCCTGCTCCCCACCGTTCTCCTCCAGGGCCCGGGGCCAGCGTAAGTTTCAGGGATCAAATCAGATTTCCCCAGCCTGATACCCTCTCAATAGGTTTCATTCTGATTCTCGTAATTCCCAGAATCCTCCAGTGCATGTTTCCCAGAATCATCTTGGGCAAGGATGTGGAATAGCTTTCCCCAACCTCTAGATCTGTTAGGATAAAATTTGCACGATGCCCAAGATCCTCTTGGGCAAGATTATGGAAAAATGGAGCATATCAGGAGAAATTTAGCAATTTGTTGGAACTAACCTTGGGAAATCTATAAATATTTGTGGCTATCACCTGCAGGGCTATATTCAGAAAATATGCTTGAACAGATCAGGGAAGGCGCTGTCATGGTATATGGGAATGACCTTGGGAGACGGGGAAGAGCCGCAGGCAGGGCAACTATCAGATAAGAGGCAGCTGAGCCTGCAGCAGGAATGCGGGAGGGGCAAGAGGCTTAGAAGGGACCCTCCCTAATTTCTTGGGCTGTAAAGGGGACAGGGTGTGTGTGTTACACACACTACTCCCAGGTTTGGCTTATGGTCGCTCACTCACACACTCACAGCCTGTCGAGGCATGCGGATCTTGTCAGCCCCCCTTGCTTTCTACCTGGGTTTTCCAGAGAGGTGCGG